GTGTGTGTGTGTGTGTGTGTGTGTGTGTGTGTGTGTGTGTGTGTGTGCATTCACTCTCTCTCTCCCTCTAGAATGTGAGCGTTCTAGAACTGTACCCCCAGCACCTGAAACAACAACAACTATGCTCTCAATCGACAACAGTTTGAGACCAATGCCCCTGAGGTCTGGGAAGAGATTTCATAGAAAGATGATATTTGAAGAGGGTCTTGGATCTAGGAGGATCTAGGAGTCTGCCAGGTAGAGAAGGTTTTGCAGACTGATGATTCAATGTTAAACTGCTATGTCCAATCATCATGCTTGCCTTATATAAATGTGTACTGCTTTTGACTACTATGTGCAGATACCTTACATCTCACGGGTTTATGTTGCCTTCCTCACTGTAACAAGTGCCAAGAGCTCAGTTTCTATTATTACTCTAAAAATCTATCATTCAAGGGGATAAAACCTATAGTCTGAGTTCTTATGCATTTTTACTTAAATGTTAACTTAATTTTTACTTAAATGTAAACTCATTTTTACTTAAATATAACTGTCACCATATTTTGGTTTAACACCTTCAAAGAGATTGAATAACCAAAGAGATTCAATAAACTAGGCTTAGTAGGCTTAAAACTAGGCTTAAACTTCAAATGCTTGATTTTCTTAGAACTTTATTTTTCTTAAATTCAAGTTAATTCAAACTAATTTTCAAGTTAACTTAATGGAAGTTTTCAAGTTAACTTAATGGAAGAATGGAAGTGTCACCTGTCAAAATAATCAAAATTCTCTCACATGCCAAAAAATCCAATCAGTTTATTTATTGGTGACTGAGGAGTAAACTGACATATTACTTTGGAATGAAAGAGGCAGACACGGGTAGCTCTTAATTTTTTGGCTCCTGTCAAACACTTCATCAGAGCCATATACCCACTCCCTGCTATGTAGGACATTTGCAGCTTTGTCGATTTTCCGGAAGATGGGTTCTGGGTAGGGAAAGGCAGCCCAGGCCATCAGATGCTCAATGAATAACCACTTAGGCAGGGGAAGGGTATATACTTTTAGACCAGAAAGGATCTAACTTAGGTGATCTGCCAACCTCTCTTTCAACAGAAAAGGTCACTAAGGCTGAGAACAGAGGTGAATTTTTCTCAAATCCACAGAACCTAGGGACCCCAACTTGGTCACGCATTGTTTCTACCGTCCTTGGGCATCTCTCTTTGGGACATCAAAATAATTATAGCTTAAATGTTCTGAAGAAGAGAACACTCACGGAAAAAAAAAAAACTGAGACCAAGAGCTCTGACCGAGAACTCAGGAAGGTACCATCCAGACATCTTCAGCTGTCTATCAGAGATGTGACACGGTTGGCTGGCTCATGGCTTCAGACAGCTCAACCTGATTTTCCCAGTACTGACTGTTATGACTCACAGTCCTCCTTTGAGAGAAGGTCCCCACTCAGTTGTAAAGACTAAACAGGATTACAGGGACGCACAGCACTAACTCATTGAAATTAATGCAGCAAGGGGAGCTAAAACAATAGGGCTCAAAACGCCTGCTGGTTTAGTGTAGCGCAGGAGTACCAGCCTGCCTACACCTGAACAGTTTTTGGTCTCCAGAGACTCTCAAGGGCAGAAGAAAAAAATCTGGGCCATGCAAATTTCTTTTGTCATCTGAGTTCAAAGGGACTGAGGCTCTGAGCGAGTGTTCGTGCCTAGCTATCTTGAGTCATCACTTTCTATTCTCCACTGAAAACATTTTAGGAAAACAACGTTTTGGGAAAAACAGTTTCTCCTAAACTACAAATTTCATGGAATGGAAGAGGCAAATGAGAGATCAGCTGAACATAATGGTGTAAAAAATACTATCAGAATCTTTATTAAACATGATGAACTAAGATGAAACAGTCAATTTTGACAACATGGGAAATACCACAGACCTATTTTTACTGATGCAAAGAATAACTTCACAGGTAGCTGGTTAGTTCTTCTGCATGATAAATCTGAACATTCGAGTACACAATTTGAACTAAAAGTTGAAACTATTTAAATTCTTGAATAGTTGATAGTAAACATTGATGGTTCTTTTCTTAAAAACCGCCTAGAAACAGGGTATTCCACTCATTTTGTGGGAAATTCAAGACTTAGACAAAGATCTATTGTCAGACAGAATGCCACTATGACAAAAGAAGTGCTCAAATTTTCTTCTTTTGCAGTACTTGTAGTATATTTAATAAAATGTAATTTTATTATATTTGAAACAAGTGGGCAATCGGCTATACTAGGGAAACATTTCTATGGTGCAAATATTTGTGTTCTATCATTATTTTTCATATTGTGGTGTAATTTGGACTCTACATATGCTTATGGTTCCCCCTCCTCCACAAATCAGTGAATGAATGATTCAAAGGATATTTATCAACCTTCAATTTATAGTTGAACCTACAGTTTGAGAATCAGACTCAGTGGACCATGCACCACTTGGGCAATAACAAACTCAATGTACAATATGTGCTCTCACTTAATATGCATAATGGACACCTTGACCATCTTCCCTAGGATCATGTTCACCTCTGGAGTACATTCATTTCATGTAGCAAATACACTGTTAAAATTACTTCTGAGAAGGATATTAAAACTACTGTCCCTCCTCAGACCACACCAGGCACAGTATCCCAAGGGCATGTGAGTAATGAGTGTTTAAGTAAAAGAGGCATTGCCTTGATCCTTCCACAGGGCTACTAATCTAGCTTTGGGTCAATCAGAAAATTCATTACTCAGTTTTGAAATATCTAGGCAAATGTAGCTTTTAAGTATGTAACAGGATAAAGCAATAAAGCCCTTTTAACAATGTATCTTCAGTTTATTTATACTCCTCTGGTTGTCATCTCCTCCTCCGGAAGCCTTTAAAACCAAAACACTCAAGTGAGCAGGAGAATTTGTGAAGTCACACACACACACACACATACACACACACTCTCTCTCTCTCTCTGAAAAGACAACTTAGTTTTGGCTGGGTCCTCATCTAGCCAGGGCAGGGAAGACTTTTGGTAACAGTGACTAAATAGAATCTCAACCACTTTCAGGACTCCGCAGCGTGGCTACATCAATTTATTAAAAGTGAATTGTAGATGAAAGGCCATATACTGCAGGTCCTGTATGACAAGGCCTGTTGCTTAAGTTTCCCCATGTGTAAAATGGACAGTGTCTTCAGAACATAAGAACATGATGTGCTAATATAAGAAAAATAGTTGGCTTCAAGTTCAGTTTCCTTCCCCTGCCAAGCCAACATTGCTATGACTACCATAGCAATGTGTGCCATTTGCATTAAGAAAGATGCATGAGAGCAGACTGTATATAAACACACAGTCAGCACATACTTGGGTTCTGTCTGATCTTTATGGGTGGTGTTTACTTCTGGATATAGGTTCTTAACTACTAGTAATGCTTTCTCTCCCTGAAGTGAAAGAAGAGTAAATACTGCAGGAATTCAAGGATGACACAACATACAGCCAAGCAGTCCCTTCGAGTCAAGCACGGTTGACACCCTAGGCCTAATTTATAAGGGGCCCCACCTGCTGATTCCAATGGCCTTTGTCATCCTAACTAGCTACTTTCAGTAGGGGAGGATGCAGGAGAGATTGACCTTGATTCACCTCATTATCAACCAAACGTGGAAAACCCTTTAGCACAACTGTTCTCCATCTCTGCAGCACATTCAAATCTCCTGAGGAGCTTTGAAAACTCCAGATGCCCCGACCACAGGCCAAACCAATTACATCCAAGTATCCGGGGTTGGGACCCAGACACCCATATTTCTTAAAGTCCCCAGTGATCCAAGATGCAACCAAGGTTGAGAACCACTGTCTTGGATCGCCCCTCCTGACCTCATGGAACTTCTGCTGCAAGGCAAACCAGGAAAGCCAACCTAGAGTGTTTCACAACCACGGCTTCTCAGTAGAGCAGGTGCAACAGGGTCCTGAACACTGAAACACAGGTGCCGGCACTGAGCTCCACACAGGGGGCTGAACAGACAGCTTATGAGCTAGAGGGTTACCCAGATCCTCACGTGAGACTTTGCACTTCAAAAAAGCAAAAAACAAAGGCAAGTCCGCCAATCTTAAGAGATGTAACCAAATCCCGTTAGGATTTCTTTCCTTCTTTTCTAAGGCAAATCTTTTGGGAAGGACAGTCAGAGTATATGTGGAAGCGCGCCCCACCCATAGAGCCTGCGGAAAAGAAGACAGAGCCGCACAACTCCTGCGGCCGCCTAGAAAACCCCCCGCAGGCTCCCCCGGCGCCGGGAGAGCGCGTGCACCTGTCGGCACGCGGGGCCGCACCTGCCGCGCCGGGCCTTCCCTCCTACCTTCCAGCAGCTCGTCCAGGCTGGTGACCTTCCGGCTGCCGTCGATGGTGTAGATGGTGCGGACACCCTGGGGCAGGTTCACGTTGTCCGACAGGGAGCGGGTGAGCTCCATAAGCAGCGCATCGAAGGACCGGAAGCGGTCGCCGGAGATGGCAAACACCAGGCCCTTGAAGTAGCGGTCCCCATTCCGGTAGAAGCGCGCCTTCTTGGCCTTCTTCTCCGAGCTCAGGGCCTGCAGGGTCCGCGTACGGTAGAAGCTGCAGTGGGCACTGTGCGCCGGGCTGGGGATGAGCCCGTTCCCCTTGGGGCCGGAGCTGCTGCTGCCCCCGGAGGAGCTGGGCGCCCCTCTCCGCGACCCCGGCCGCGGCCTTTTGTCCCGTTCCTCAAAGTGTTCCAGCTCGATACTCCTGGTGCTGGCCATCACGGCTGCTCCAGGGGCGCCCCCACGAAACACGTCCCAGCCAAAGCCTGCAGGTAGCCCAGGGTCAAGGCGAGCACCGGCTCAGGGACGTCTAACTGCGAGCAGCCTCAGAGCGCGGGGACACCCAACTCTGGCATCCCGCCCTCTCCTCGCAGGTGGAGCCGCGGAGGCGCCGGCCGGCCCGCGCCCCCTTAAAAGTGGCCGCAGCGCCGAGCTGCCCAGCTCATTGTCCGGCGCGCCTCGCTCTGTCCCTCCCGCTCGCCGGGGAGCCCCACGCCCCCCCAGGCGCCTCCTCCACCCGGCCACGCCTCACAACTCCCTCCCGGGAGCCCGCCGGCCGCCGCCAAGTTGGGCCGCCCGAAGCTCGCCCTGGACCCGCGGGCGCGCACAAAGATCGGGCGCCCGCCGCGGCTCGCGTCCGCCCGCCGCTCCCGGGAGATCCGAGGGGAAGGAAGGAAGGGAGGGGGAGGGGCCGCGAGCGTGGGAGAGGCGCCGCTGGGGCGTCGGCCCGGCTCCGGCCCCGGCCCGCTCACGCGCCCGGCCCGAGGCCCGGAATGCCGCGCCGCCGCCTCGCTCGCCTCCAGGCCCTGCCCGAGGGGCGGCGCGCGCTGGCTGGGGCCGAGAGCACGGTGCAGGCCAGTCCCTCCCGGAGTCTGGCCCTAGCGGGAAATAACGCAGCTCGCCTCCCCCGCAGCCGGCCGGCCCGGCCCACCCGCGAGCATCCGCCCCCGGGCCCGACCGCACCGCCTGCCCAGCCCGCTGTCAGGGCTGGAGGGGCTTCTTGCTCCCCGAGGGATGCCAAACCCCGGAGGGAGAGAGGTGGGAGAGGAGGCTCTACAGCGCGAGAAGATCGGCCCCTCCAGGGTCCTAGGCGGCCCCGCCCGCCTGACAGCCCCAACCCCGCTCCGCGCGCTGATGGGCGCAGCCGCGGCGCGCGCTCCTCCGCCTGGGAAACGGAACCGCGCAGGTCAAAAAAACTACAAAGGAAGGAGATTCAAGGGCAGGGATCACATCCCTTAGCCAGCCTCCAAATGAGGAGCCGAGGCTAAACTAGGGCAGGAACCTGAAACATGGCATTGAATTGGGGCACACTATTTATTTTTTAAAAGGAAATCTGGAGCTTTATTTAAAAATCCTTTGATAAAACAATTTCCGTTGCAGATTCGCTAACATGGTTCGTTCAGTAACTTTGAATGTGTATGATCGGAAGTTATTGTTTTTTGAGGAATTTACTTAATTAACAAATATTTATTAAAGCATGCAATGTGCCAGGCATTGTCTCCGTCGCTGGGGATGCATTCGTAAACAGAAAATCCCTACACTCCACCCCCCTTACATTCAAGTGATGTTTATTGTTGTCATTAAGTAATTAAGTTCTCATTAAGTAATAGGTCTAACCTTTGTAAGCACCCATCATACTCGAAGTCTTAATTTAGTAGTGCCTGGTCAACGGTAAAAGCATATTCCCCAAAGGCTTGTGAGAAATATTAGTTACTTCCCTTTTACCATTAGGGAAAGATGAAACTAAAAGAAGTTTGGTCCAAGTTACCCTGAAACCTTAGGTTATTCACCACCTGTTCTCTGAGTGGCCCTAGACAGCAAATCCAAACCGACCTGTAAGGTAAGAACATGGATGCTTTTCTTGGAATTAACTAAGTCCTGGAAGAGTATGAATAAGAGAAGGCAGAGATATATGCAGTAGTTCTTCAGCAGCTGTGAAGCTGCCCTGGCATGCAGTGCCCCAGAAGATTCCTGCTTAGTGCACCATAGTTCCCCCAGGGCAGTCTCAGGGATACACCTGGGCATACCTGACTTCTAGAACCAGGACTGGAACATGCTGGGAATTCAGGGCTGATCTGAGGCTTCAACATAGTTTTCCAGGGGAAAAACTGTGAAATATAATTAGGTCCATGGCCATAATAGACCTTAACACAGACCAATTAAATCAGAACTTCTGGGGAAAAACTGTGAAATATAATTAGGTCCATGGCCATAATAGACCTTAACACAGACCAATTAAATCAGAACTTCTGGGGATGGACTTCTCCAACAGTAGTTTTTGGAAGTGCTTCTAATGCACAGCCAGTGTTTCCAACTATAGGCTGTAACATGAGTATTCAAACAGATCAGTGCTGCTTCTCAAACTCTGATGTATACTTACATGTAGTAGGGGAAGTCTCATAAAATGTAGATTCTGATTCAGTAGGTCTAGGGTGGAATTTGAGATTCTGTATTTCTAATAAGCTCCCAGGTAATGCCAATACAGCTGGTCTTGGTACAACACTTTGAGAAACAAGGAACTAAATGGCAAATTTCTTGAGATAAGGCTTCATTAAGTACTAGTAACTGCAGAGCCTTTCAACTTTGTAAATGGCTTAAAATGGGTGTGTTCATTTGTTTTGCTCTTACTCTTTCTTGAAAAAAAAGCCCACTTTGTAATCTATTGCTGTAGTAACAAATTATCCCACACCTAGTGATTCAGGACAATAAACATGTATTATCTCAGCAGTTTCTGTGGGTCAGGAAGCTAGGAACAGCTTCCCTTGCCGTCTCATGAGACTGTAATCAAGACATTGATTGGGGCTGCAGTCATCTGAAGTCTTGGCTGGTGCTGGAAGATCTAAGATGATTGGTAGGAGGCCTAGGTTCCTGGCCATGAGCACCTCTCTGTAGGGTCGCTTGAGTGTTATCACAACATGTCAGCTGGCTTCCTCCAGAGCAAGCTCCCAGAGAGAACATGGTGGAAACCAAATGTCTTTTATGATGTAGGCCTGGAAGTCATACACTGTCATTCCTGCAATAGCCTGTGTAACCTTACACAGGCTGGCCCTGTTTAATGTGGGACCTGACTATACAAGGATGACTACCAGAAGCTCATTGAGGTCACCTTGTAGGCTGGTAGCACAGGTTCAATCAAACAAGCTTTAGGACATAAACACATTTTCTCACTCAAAGATTCCTGATAAAAGATTTCACCCTTCTTAAACAGTGAATACAATGATATAATATGCCAGTATTTTAGCATGATTCCCAAACATTATATCCCTAAGTTAACAAAGATTACTGCTTTTCAAGAGGGGCTGGGGGAGAAGAGAAAGTATTTCCAAAGCTGTTACCTAATTTTAAAAATCATTTTGTTCCTGCTCTTTGCATTAATTTGTTTGAAGAACTTTATCTCTGACCTTCATATAAGAATTAAGATGCAATCACCTTTCATAAAATAGTTGCTTAGTGAATATGGTATATGTCAAGACCCAGCTGGCCAAAATTTGAAGATAATTAGGGCAGAAAAAAATTAGTTTCAGCATTACAATTCTAATGCCAACAAAATTTGAGGGTTCTAGGTAGGCAGGTATTAATTTGGGTTGTTACTTCATGATTTAAGGTTTATAGAGCCAAAACAAATTCTCCCCTTTCACAGGGTTGCAGAATGTGCAGAGTAAGATATTTCAACTGGCATGTCCTTTGCTGAGATGCCCCCTTTCTTTTCTAACCAAGAAACACTACCTGGGACTTCCCTGGTGCTCCAGCGGTTAAGACTCTGTGTTTCCACTGCAAGGGGCACAGGTTCGATCCCTGGCCAGGGAACTAAGATCCCACATGCCGCACTGTATGGGGCGGCCAAAAAAAGAAAAAAAAGAAAAAACACTATCTGATTTGCTAATCATTCATCCTTCCAGAGATGATCTATTTCTCCTTGGTGGTTGCCTACTCTGTCTGCCAGGTCATGATTTTAGGGGCTTTATTAGGAGAGGCTGGCTCTACGTCTTTACCGTCTTACTTACCATGGCCTGCCTTGACCATTGCTCCTGTTGGTTGTGAATTCTCTATACCCTTTCCTAACCCCTCTTAGTCTAACAATTATCTGAATAAAATCTGTCGTGCAGAGAACTTTAAAAATGGCTTCATCTCTATGCTACAGAGAATCCAAGAATTTCAATCCAAAATCTCTTCTCCATTTTTTTTTTTTTTGTTTGCAGGATTAGAAAGGACTCCTTTCTGCTCTTGATATATAATAATTTTAAATCGCAAAGTATCTAGTGCACGTGAAAACTTTCTTGATGCTATCCAAGAGGGATCTTCTAAAAACCACCTGGGGCAGAAACATTCAACCAGGCTTGAAGGAAAGGTAATTAATTGTTCTTTGTTCTCTATACTTCTCTTCAGATTTCACAGATTAGCAATACAATTTTACAATTTTATGGCTGCCTTTAGCCAAGTGGTAACTTCCTCCCCCAGCCCCCTCACTCCCCCATCTCCACCTTGATTAAGAAATACCATAACAATTTTTATTTGGCATAATTTGTTTAAATGAGATTTATCTACTCCATACTTCCTTATGGAGCTTTACCTAAGAAACTTGCGTTGAACATCTCCTGGTTTTGCTTCACGCTACTTCAATTCTCAAATGCATTGGCTAGTCTTCACTTTTGGCCAGAACCTTCTGCTTTTAGAGGCAGTTTTCCAGCTACTCCATTACTTATTACATAAAGGGTGCTTACAAACATTTTAGACGGCACCGTGCTGAGACTTTCTGCTGTCTCATGTTTTCGTTTCTGTTCACTGCGTGCCAAGCGTTTCTCCCAGAAGCAAAAGTGATGAAACAACTATTTTCAGTGAAAGGGCCCAGTGACTATGAACTTGAATTTTTGAAACTTAGCATTATTTTTTATTTCATAATCTTTAATGGTTATAAATTCTAGTATTTTCTGTCGCACTTTAACGGGAAAGAGTATAAAGCCAGGAGGTTTGGAAAGAGACTCTCTACCCCTACTTACCCCTAATCTGCACCCAGACTGGAAAAAGATTCAGACGAACTGTTCTCTCATCTTTTGTTTCACCTTGGGAGCTTTGCTGTCCTTTACAGCCATGATTCTTGAAGCACTTTACAAATATAATGACTTTGCAAATGTATATGAGGGAATGATTAAAACTACATTTTCAGGTTCAGAAAATTGATTAAGTCTTTCAAAAATTTCAAGTTTATTTTTATTTTTATTTTTTTTGCAGTACACGGGCCTCTCCCATTGCGGAGCACAGGCTCCAGACGTGCAGGCTCAGCGGCCATGGGTCACAGGCCCAGCTGCTCCACGGCATGTGGGATCTTCCCAGACCGGGGCATGAACCGGCGTCCCCCGCATCGGCAGGCAGACTCCCAACCACTGCACCACCAGGGAAGCCCTCAAGTTTAATTTTTTAATGAAAATATCATGAATGGAAGAAAAATTCAGATATGCATGCTTTAAATGTATATAGCACACAAACGCTTCTTTTCTATGAGAAAACTGTGGTTTAATAGCTCTACTGGTAGTTCTGTTGGTCCATTTCACTTCCACAAAGTATATAGTCAAAGACTTCCACTTTTCATGTTTATTCTGTGTATTCAAAATTATACTCAGTTATTTTGTCATTTACTAGTTCAGCTGCAATAACTGTTAAAATGAAAATAATAGAAGCATTAAATTTATGAAGTAAATTTCTTTTTAGAAATTTGAACTTTTTTCCCTTTAAATCTCCTTAAGAAGAAAATCTAG